GGTCTGTTGGGGGATCTTTGATCGATGTTTTTGACTTTTTTCGTGTTCTCAAAAACTAAACTACCAAATCTGAGATTCTTGTTTCATTGATTAGTGTGGAATTGAAAAACTCTGCTCCATAAGCGCCTACGCTCAAACTTTTTAAACACTAAATTAGGGTGCTCAAAATAATGAAATTTTTGATGTTTTGACCGTTTTTTGGATCGTGTTGACTTTTCTCGAAAACTAACTTCCAAAACATGATGTTGTGGATTCAATAGAGAGAACGGGTAGTGAGAAGCTCCCATGCATTAACGGTGCTCCCAATTTTTTTACACAAAAAGGTTATCGTCCTCGAAGTTTTTCTGCGGAAGCAGCTGAGCCCAATTTTTTTAAACGAAAAGCTATGTTTCTCTTAATTATCAGCTATCTGATCTGTTGACAATTTTTGACTTTTCTCGATAACTCTCCTGGCAAATTTAATACCATAGGTTCAATTTTCACAACATGTTGCTGAAAACTTACCTTTATAATTTGGTACGCTCAGTTAGAAAATTGGCCTTTAAAGAAGTGGAAGTTTTGAAACTGACCCTTTTTGAAGTTTTTTTGACTGTACTCGAAACTTACCGTGCCAATTCTCAGGTTAAAGAAACCTGATGTTGGGAATCTTCTCTAATCTATCGGTCGCTTTTAGCAAAAAAATGTTAGGGATTTCGAAAAGTCCAGTTTTTGAAATTTGACCGTTTGCAGAAGCGGCTACTCCTGATTGTTTTGTAAGAGAAGTGTTATGACTTCGGGAAAATTCCAAAATTTAAAATTTTTAAAATACCTAAAATCTAAAAATAAAATCTACTTATTTTAGTAGACAAAGAACTAAGGTTTTGCGCTAAATCCAATTTTTGCATTTCGTACTGCAATTTCAAATAAGAAATTCAATAAATGCATTTCGTTCTGCAATTTCAGATAACAAATTCATTAAACGCGAAAATGTACCTCCAGCTTTAGTTTGGCTCTAGCTGTTCTTCATCGAGACATTTTTTGGTTCACTTAGTTTATTTCTACTCTGCTAAAGTAGTTTCTTTCAACGAATCCTACTTTTGGATATTCGCCAAACAATAACCGAATAATTAGTCTGTCTTGTCGGAGATATATCATCTTTCTTTCTTATATTACCCGAAATTCTCACTGCTGTTTCTTTTGATTGCATTAATTTCTGACCTGCGGTTTTACACCCAGTGGTTAAAAGAAAGCTTGGTGTTGTTAGTTGTCTTCATTTCTTTTTCTTACATCCTACGATGTTTTGTTGAAGTACCAAAGATCTTCAGAGCAAAGTTGCCGAACCTTGAGTCTACCATCGATCATTAGGGAAAATTTGCTCAAAAAGGCGGATGAAGTAAAAACAGCTGAAGCCTTTTATCCCGAATGCATGTTATGTGGTGGAACTGGCCTTGGTTAGAAACTTTTTACTTGCTTAAAATGTTGCCGATCCGTGTATTTGAAATGTGTTGGATTAACACCACAGACTTGTGGTTCGTTTAACAATGGTTTTTTTTGTCCTGGTCTTGCGTGGAATGTGCCTCGGTCTTTTATGATTATTTTTACGGCAACTTTTGTGATTTTTTTGTAGTATCAAAGGCGTCTGACAAAGGTTGTAACTCAAGAAACCGGTGTCGAGAAAGTCATAGAAAATCAAATAGAAAACGATTCAGTGCTCGAGAAAAATGAAAAGCAAAGTGGCGCAGAGAAAAAGCCTGCTTTCAGTGAGTTTTCACGACGAAAGTCTGCTGCAAATTGATTCAGGAAGTCAAGTGCTGCATCAACGTTAGAGCGAAGTGGAAAGAAAAGAAAATTAGGCTAAACTCGGCGAACCAAAGCAGCTAAGACTGAGCTCATATAAAAAGGAAATGATAAGCCCAGCAAAGGTTTCTCGGCCGGTAAATAAATAGCTACTGACGAGGAGGCTTTCATATTTCAGTAAAGTTAATTCTGGAGTAACCTATGAGGCTTTTTTGACCATTGCAAAAATAAGGGAGTAAATCACTGAGCAGATCAAATAATATCGAAAACTCAGGTGCTACTGCTTTACACTGTTTTCTTAAAGACTCAAAAGATAAGATTGAAACCAGTAATTTATGTCCCGAAAGAGTTGTTCACCGACAGTTCAGACTCAATAAAGATGCGAAAGTAGGGTTGATTTTTTTATTGACTAAAAAGCACTCACATGATTATGTCAAGTAATGTCTGTGGAATCTCAGATCTCCCCGGAAAAAGTTTTCGCATGTACGGAATCTCACTAAATCATTTGAGCTGAATTTGTTCTTTCGCCGAGACATGGATTTTAGATGAGGAAATTGGGAAATCCCTTTTACTTGGCTCTACCTCAAAAACTAGGTTCGTCAGTGATTATAGGCATGATATAGGAGGAATTGATTTTTTTCTGATTTACTACACGAAGTAACAAGTAGCCAAGATTGGGAATTGAATAGAATGTCTTTTATTGGAAAGTAGGGTAGGGAGAGATTCGATTATCATTTGTCTCCTGCATCGATCTCCGCCGACTTCTTCTTAGCTCTTTTGTCGGAACTTCTTAATCTAATAACGCATTATCGCTCTTGTTTTGAATGAAATAATTTTTTGGGTAATTTGAAAATTCACTTGAACAATTCTTATGATTGCCAATTTCTTCAAAGCCATGTTCTCTCCTCCACTCATCGCCGTTGAGATGAACTTGCTCAAATTAGTCTTACCCATATTGTAGCTGGTGATTGTAATCTCAGTTATCACTGCCCTCTGTTGTTTTCTACGAAAATCGGAAAGACATTGATGTCAATCAGCTTTTCGTGGAGACGAAAACGTTCTGGTTTCGCCAATACACTGGAAATGGAACTGGAGTCATGTTTTAATTCTAGGATTCGGGAACACGCATTGAAAAGCAGAGACAAGACAATGTGTATTCACTACCATTTTTCAGTGACGCCAAGCTGTTCTACAAATCAATAAAGCATGAGACCAAGAAACACCACAATAGCGTTATGCCCACGTCCAGCTCGAAAAATTCATTTGCTTTGCCGTAGTTTTTTCCCACCTTGAAGGGGACGGTATTTGTAACCCTCCGACCGAGTTCGAAGTGTGATTCGAACACACGACCTCCTTGTTATGCGTCGCGAACGCTCTTAGTGTTTTTTTTTAATCAAAGATGGTGGAAATTGAAATAACTTCAAGTAGATAGTTTTTGTTTATTTTTAATTGGAAAGTTTGATATAGAAAAAAAAACTTTTTTTTTCGGCTTCCTTAGTTAACTAAGATGAAGACGATTTATCTATCAGGGAAAGAACTAAGATACGAGCTGCTCAGCTCATCACGGAAAACCGCTGTTGTGTCCCTGCTTTCGCACTACATGCAATTTTTTCGGTTGTTTTGCACAGCCGGATTATGATGGGCCTCGGTCATCCGACTTTTCGTTTGAGAGGCGGAGACGTAACCACTTCACCGCCGGTCCCTATTTTTTTCGAGTCTTTGTTTCTTAAGTTTTGTACTGTAGACAATTTTCTGAACACTGGGCGTTTATTGAAATAATTTTTATTACTTCGATTTGATTTATGGAAAAACCTTTGTCTTCAATCATTTCTTTCATACCTGTAGTTTGACTATTACTTGAGGATAGAGATTGATGGAAGTTTGCTAACTCTTTTAGATTGTTGACGAATTTTTTATGCACTCATACTGTAGCAAGGAATGCGAAGCTGGGTTCGTATCTGAATTAAAATAGAAACGATCATTAATAGCATGGGTTCAATTCAGATTACAATGACATTTCATCGTGATGTGGCAATATGAGTAGTGTGGGAGGTGCAATGGAAGGAGGCAAAGATTCGTCTAGCACCACACTGGACTCTAAACTCGAATCGCTTCCAAAAGAGGAACTCATTAGATATGTGAAAAAGCAGGCTCAACAGATATCCAAACTCAAACATCAAAAGCAATCGAATCCCAATGCGCAATTGGAGTCAAATAATCAAGGTGAGTTTGTCTCTAATATTAAGAGTCTTTCAACGTAGTTTAGACTCTTATATAGTCGTGATGATTTTTCTCGTCTTTTTAAAGAAAAATCTAAAATGCAAAAGCATTCATACTTGTAAATGCACATGAATGGCCGTGGGTAAATATGCTTTTTTTATAGATCAACTTAAGTTTATTTGCTTAAGGCTGGCAGAATGCACCTGATCAATTTCTAGTTTCAATTTTTTATTCTAGATTCTAGAAATTAATTGTTAGATTTCCCAGCGGAATAAAAATTTCTAATAATCCAGTTTTCTCAAATTGGGTTAGTTTTATCAAGAAAAGTTCTAATTATAAATAGAGCTTCAAGGCCATATTAAGTTCGAAAGTTGACCTTTTTCAAAAAAGAAGTCTTTTTGTTCCGACTTCCGATACGAAAGTGACGGAATATTTGTGCTCGGGGTGGGTTTTTTTTCTTCAGACAAATTTTGACTTTTCAACTAGCCATTTTTGACGGAGTTTTTGATGGCTAATTTGGGACAACTAACGCGTGATATATTTCACGCTCTTAACGCGTAAGCGGAGATTTAATCCGTCTTTAAAATCGTTCCAAATTGGTTGAAAGAAGCTTATTTGCCATAATTGTTTTGTTACATTGAGCGAAATCTATTCTTAAAAACTTTATATGGCGTGTGGGGGGATGATTTCATAAAAAAATTTCAAATTTCAGAAAATTTTTTTTTTCTTTTATTATATTTATTTTCTTTATGTTACTACTGCTCGATAAACCGTAAAAGGCAGTCGGAACATTCAGGGCTTTGTCCTGATACGAGGAGTCTTTTTTCTTTGCGTTCATTGACCCCTCCCAACTGTCTGCTGGATGTGTTTTTAACTTTGATGCCCAACTAATTTTTGATATCTCGAGTTCAAAGCTATCACATAATCTTTTTAAGTTATTGGACTGTTAAGATCGCTGTTTTTTCAGTTCCATCAAAAAAATGTTGAAGTCAAATTAAATTATTATTATTTTTCTACACTAGGATTATCCGATGCCCCTCAATTTTGTTTCACTCCTTGAGCAGTTTCTCCGCAATCTTGTTGGCCTGATTCACTCTCTCCTTATTCATAGCACCCTTCTCCGCAATCCTTCCCAACACGTTGTTCTGCTTGTCCAACTCGTCACTGATGTCATTGGCCATCTTGTAGAGATTGCCCACTGCCTCGTTCACTGTTTGAAGGTTCTTTTCCAGCTCCTCCTCTTTCCACGTGCCAGATATTTTGGCCGTCATTGTGGGCTTCACACCCGGCATCACCTGAAACAAAAATAAATCATAAGTTTGGCACTTCTAGCCTTTCTCCCAACTGTGATTCATACAAAATTAAACTAACGTTAACTTTGTCGATTTTTTTTTCACATTTGACGTGAATGGTAATTACTCGATTGCCTTCACACTTAGTTTTTATGTACATTGTTCTAAAGTAAAATCAACGAATCAATTGCAAGATGTCTTTTTGTCGGTGTAAGTGGGACGGTTAAAAGAGCCATAAGTCATAATGAATTGATATCGGGATCCTTCTTAATCCAGAACGGAATTGGCGAGTATGAGAGGCCAATCTGGCAAAGACTATAAGTCTCAGTTGGGCAGAGAGACAGCAAAGGTTCATCCTAAGGGTCTATGGCCTACAGCATTGCTACCAACAATTTTAACATGAGCGGATTGTAATAATGTAAATAGAGTTAAGACCCTTTATTCACGAGGGAAAGGAACACTATAGTTGATGTTCGGTTGTTTACGGGGAGTCACCGTTACGTCCCTTTTTAAGAATATGGTGTTAATCTTATTTTATTTGGGCTCAGAGTTGTCGCCGAACCCGCAGACGAACAATCATCATGGTGGGTCTCGAACCGCCTGCCTTTCGACTGAGAGGCGGAAACCTTAAATTCTTCAGCACTGTTTATCTAATCAAAAGAAGAAAATGTTGTACAAATTTATGGTTCATGTGGTGCTGTAGGCCACTACGGCAAAAACTTGTAACAAAAGAACTCGCAAAAATAGGAAACTCGCGAAACTGAAGGAGAGCGAGAACTAGCGAAGTTCGATAGTTAGTTTAAAACGAAATGGCAAGTAGTAACTGCTTGCTCCCCTGCGCTTACATTGAACACGAATAGTATAATGGCTGTAAATCAGTGATTGCAGTGAATCTAGGTTTTTTGTTTGGTAGTTACAGAGATCAGAAAGATTTATCTGTTGGTGTGAGTTGTCGTATTAAGCTACGGGTCTACTAACTCTGAATGCTGTGGTGGCGTCCGGTTGTTTAACCACTGGCTTGGTCGTCTTGTTCAATTTTTCCCAGTCGGCCTCGTAGTCTTTGATCTCAGTGTCGGCACTCTTGTTCCACGGACACATTATGATTCCACAGCACTTGTTCATCTCCAACAGTCCCTTCTCGGCTGTAGTCATGTCTCGGTTGATCTTCCCCAGACCCTCTTCCATGTTTTCCATCTGTTCACCCTGGTCATCGATCTAAATCAGTTGTCCAACCTGAATTATGGCTGTCAGATCACTGTGATTATAAATGATCGGTCAGGTTTGAGCTCAGTTGTGTTTTTCTAAATTTATGGTTACGATCAGAAATTTTTTCTAAATCTTTTTAGCCTGTCCGTTTCGTCATTTAAATTTACTGTTTGTTGCTAGTAGGGATCAATAAACAGGAAATCGAATTCGGGGAAAATAGGGCTCAAGCGAACTAAATAAGTCAAGTTTTCAAATATTGGCGGATTTGGAAGAGACACGCACAACTGAACTGACTCAAGGATTTTGAAACTCTTATGTCTCAAAGTACCACCTTCATTACTCGTCTGCGAAACCAAGTTTTGCCCAGCCATTGCTGAAATTTCCGAAAGGCGACTTGAGCGCTAATATATGCTAATAGTCAAGTCAAATCAAAATAAGTCAAGTTTCCACAAAATACAAACATTTCTCAAAAGATTTTTTGTTCCGATCGTGTCACTGAAAGTGCCACTGAAATCGCTTTTTTCCAGCCCATTTTAAACAACTCTATTTTTTCTATTTCTTGTTTTTTTTTACTTTTTTAACTTGTCTATCTTACTAATTTTTTAAGTGTCAATGAACATTTGGAAAACACGTATATATGGCTCGTTGATTTTTAAAATTTGATCGCGTCAAGTTTGATCTTTTGCGAATTGGCATTGATGTCTTTTGAAGTTGATTATAATTTTATTCATAGGAAAACACTTTTCCAAAGGATCCTCTATTTTTTTTCAATTGGAATAATCGAGTATTGATGCTTCCTCCAGCTTTTGTTCTGGTATGTTTTATTATTAGAATTTATTATTATTATTTAAATGCAAATGTCGGTTTAAATCATTTTAAATTATATTGATGCAAGCGTTTGTTTTTATTGCTAGCATAGAAGACGCCAAATACATCCCTTGATGCTTCACATTGCGTCTTTTTTCTTTTTCTTTTTGATTATTTTATCAATTTTTCGAACAATTTTTTTTAATTGGCCTTTAAGTGCAGTGGAAATAACCAGGGCTTTGCCCTGATGTACGAACAAGCTTGTTTTTTTTTAAAATTGATTTTTTAAATTGAATTCGTGCCAGAATTGCATGGCCAAAGCAACGTGTTTTTTCTCATTTGTGTTTTTAATAGATCCTGGCACTTCTCCAATAAATTGTTCAAAATTGTGTCCTTGTTCTTTCAATTTTAAAACAAAAAGAATCTTTCAAAGAGTTTTCGTTTAAGGATTAGGTGTTCAAAGAGAAAAAATACCCGATCTTTTTTGGGTTTTTGAAATGGCCATCACTGCTCGCGAAAAATTGAAAGCGAAAACTCTTCTCGCGGAAACCGTAGATCATCGATCTTATTTTGATTTCGTGAGGTACTAGGGCCTTACCCTGACAAGTGCTCTGACAGCGAAGTCTTTGCACTCGTTCGTCTTCTTGATCATATCCATACTAGTCATCAGATCCTTGTCTATCATATCCTCGATTTGTCTCTGAACTGCTGCCACCTCAGGGTCCTCCGAGAACTCTATCTCAGGTAGACCAATGTCCCCCTCAACTGTCGTCTTCTCCTTAACCCCTCCCCCTCCGCCGTCCCCCTTCTCCATCGATGCAACTGTGGTTTTAAGCAAGAGTGATATGTCAAGTTCTTCTGTTTTTGAATTCTGCTTATTTTAACAAAAATGGCGAACAAGGTTATATTTGATAACAATGAAACAGGCAAAACCCTGGAATAATGTTGAAATAGTTTATTAACATGAACAACTTGTTCTTAAATTGGATTTCTGTAATTTTTTAGTTCTCATTTTCTTATATTTGTAGGGCTGTCAAAACCACATTATGCTGGGCTCGTAGTTTTCATGTAACGATGAAGTAAAAGTTGAGTTATAATCAGAGAAATGTAATGAAAAGAGAAAAAACAATTGTAGAGCAGCTTTAGTTTAAACAAAGTAAGAAAAATCATGCTTTTTATATGCCATGCTTTAGTATGTGCATAATCAAAGTAATGATTTTGTGCTGTGCGTGTATCAAGTTTTACGATACCGATGATTTAGAGTTTTTGTATTGGTAGAAAAAGTCTCTCATTATAGCCATTGGTAATTATATCGTCAGATGTTGATCTAGTGTTTTGTATTAGGTCAACCAAGCAATTGACCGTCTAATCTGACCTTTGAAAGACTCTATATTTCACCGAAAAATATGCTCTGAAAATCATTTACTGAAAAAAGAGCCTAAATTGCTGTTCATGGGTTACTTTTCGAAAATTTAACCTTTTTAAAAAGACTTGACCAAAAATTTGTGTTTAATCGGCGCGTGCCCATCAACAGGATTGCGCATATTGGCGCCACAAATTACCAAAAAGAGAAGGTATGTAACCTTGCCACGGAGAAATAATTTTAGCCCAGGTACAGTGCTGATTTAAATTATCCGGACAAAAAGCATTTAACTTGAAACTTAAAACAGGTTTTTCTCAAATTGGGTTGAGTTTAGGGGGAAAACGATCAAGACAAAACTTGCTTAGAAATTCAGCTGAATTAATATGGTGCATTTTGTTTTGCGAAATACGAGTCCAAAATTTTCCCTCAAAATGGATCATTTTTGACTTTTTTAGGCAATTAAAAATTACGCCGAAATCACCATGTGCATCTCTGAAATAATTATATCAAATAAAACTCTTATAACGTTCAAAAAACATTACAAAGCGTCTTTCCTCCAAAACATTGTATAAAATAATTTATTTTTGTTTGATAGACAAAAGGTTGTTTTTACAATATTAAACACAAGTTTTTATTTAAAAAATATCTTTAAACGCTTTGCGCTATTTAAAATATTGGTTGCGTTAAAATATTGGTCGCGAATTTTTCAAAATAATTTGCACCGTATTAATTCTGGTAAAATTCTAAGCCCTTTTTGTTTTCTTCTTTTTTGTCTAATTTCAACCCATTTTGAGAATAACGCGTTCAAAATTTACAATTTTGTTCGTTTTGTCCGCTTAATTTAAATCGGTGCAGAGGCAAACGATTAAAGTGAAATTTTTCGAAGTTTCATCGCTTGATAAGCGTCCGCAGAAAAGCCTCATTTTTGCGAACAGAGTTGCTCGCTCAATTATTTCAAGATTTTTTGCTTGGTGATGGTTGTCTAGAAAAACAATGACAAACTTCACGTCTGAAGAATCGATTTGTGCCATGAAATAAAATCAAACTTTTAAAGTATCATTGCTCAATGAGGGTTGCTCAGATTTTTTTGGCGAGCGGAATCGTGCTATGGAATCACCTGAAATGTTTCAAAATTTGATCGCTTGGTGAGTTTGTGAAAGCTTTATGCAAAATGATTCTTGTTCAGACATTTTTTGGGAGCTCGCTAGCCTTGAAGCTCAGTTTTATATCCGCCTATAAGTAATGGAAGTCATTTTTGTTCGTTGCGGCTATATTTCAAAAATCAACCTGCCAAAATGAGACAAAACTAAAATGAGGATTCCATCTTACGAATCTTTCAGTTTTGAAAATTTTACTTCATTTTCAACGTTTTTCAAAATCTCAGGGGTAGAAAATTTTCAAAAACTTCAGACTTATTGACTTGCAAATAATTGGAGCAGACAAAACTAATTAAAACGACCAATCTTTAATTAGTAGGAAAATGTTCGGACAGGCAAGAGTAATCAGAAAGCGCAAAATCTAAATTGCATGTAAAACCCTATCAATATTGAGAGATTGCTCTTTAGTTAAATTTGGTTGTCCAATTTTTGTAATTACCTAGGCCAATTTCGAAAAATTTTGAATGCAAAATGAAAATTAAAGCAACTTTGACACGCGTGAAAAGCTATCGTTTGCATGCAAAATTAAAAGCCTATTTAAGTCACAGCTGTCTGCTCCAATTTTAAATAACGAGTAAAAAATCGGAACAGACAAAATTATTTAAGATAGCCATCTTCTCGTTTTGTCAGAATTCTGCATGCAATTTAGTTTTTTTTAGAAAGAAGACAAACATTCGGTCTGATATAATTTGGCTGATCCAAGGCCAATCACACTTTTCTTGTTTTTGCTACTAATTACATTTAAATAAAGTTTTTCACATAATGACCGAAATTTTGTTCATCTCCAAGTCTGCTTTTTTTGTCAATTAACAGACATATTTTGAGCATGCTAGTGTTTTAAATATCCGCTCAACCGAAATATGCTTTTCAAGTTGGTTGTTTTGTACCAACTCAAAATTTCTCCTTTTCTTTCTTTCGGCCTATATTATTTTGACTGAGTAGTCTCTCTTTGCATCGTCCAGTGATTTTCGGCTCAGATTTTTTCGGCTTAGATACCGCTTGGAAACTGTTCTTCCAATGCATATTTCACATTGTTATCTTGGCCCGTTTTTTTTAACTAGCTTTATTCGCTTTGAGAGATCTGTTTTTGAGAGATCAAATGTTAGCTCTATTCTTTTAGGTCATTGAATCTGAGCGCAATAATTTACCTCATAATGCTGAATTTGACGGCTGAAATCAATTTTTATATTTTGTTTAATTAACGCGCAGTGTATGGCGTTTTTACGCGAGCGTATCTTAGTGTGATAGTGCGATGCAAATTTTTTTTCAATCTAAGTCGCAAATTAAAATGTTGTGGTGAATCTTCTGGATCGGTAGAATGCTCTAGCAGCACTTTGACATATCCTTCGATATTTGATTAGTAACAAGTTGACACAGTTGATGCTTTTTTAGTTCATCAAATGGACCGGAAAAAGCTATTTGTTTTATGCAATAGAAGTAATTAAAACTCCATTTCAGAAATTCTCCATTTCAATATAATTCGTGAGAATTTTGAAATGCTTATTTTATACGCAATTTGGTTTAATACATTCTAATTTATTACAAGTAAAGGTAGTGTGGTTGCCTTTAATTTATTATATTCTAAATTATTACATGCAAATTCTGAGTTTTTGCTTTTTAAAGCTCCTGAATCTTTGCCGCTTTCTCGCTCGTGTTAGCGTATCTGCAGCTTCGCCTCTGTGTTTATAGTTATTATTAGGGTTATGATCTATAGCTAAATTGTTGGCAATAACCTGTTGGCTTAACCTAAAACTCCTCGTTTATTACTAATTTCTATACGTATAAACGATAGTAAAAGTAAGTGTCGAAAAAGTAAGTAACCTAAAATGCCAGAGAGTTTGACAGCTCAAATTTCTCAAGGTCACACCAGTATTGCGAATAGTTTGGTATGAACTTTTTAGAGAGGTGCAAAAAGTTTGTACTGACTCAATTAAATAAAATGAGCAATCGTTCCATTTTGACAGATTTTTGCTGGCAATTTCGTTTTTTCTGACTACCTTGAGTCCCAACTTTGGTCTAATAAACAGTTTCAATTGCTCTTTTTTATTAGATTTGTCTGTCCGAACTCTTTGCTACTAATTAAACAGTGCTGATTCAAAGTATCCAGACGAAACGAATAAAACTTAGAAAAAAGCTTCATTCGTTTTGCCGTTTTATTTATATCAGCACTGAAGATCGCGTATGCGGAAAATTCAGATTATATTGAATTGAGGCAAAAAATTTTGTTTCAATAATGCACGTCAGTCCCAAAAGATATCACCTTCCATAGATGGTGGCAAAAAGTTGGAAGAGCAGAGTTAATTATAAAGAGCAAATGACCAATTTTGGACCATTTTCGCTTGCAAAAGCCATTTTTCAGTCTCAAGGTCTCTTAAAAATTCAAATTTGCATGCAAAAATTGCTTAAAGTTGACATATTGCTCTTGTTTATTATTTCAATCATAGAGAGTTGCAAAAAGTTCGGAAGGACAAAAATAATTAAAAAGAGAGCAATCTGCCAATTTTGAGCAATTTTTGCATGCATATTTGAATTTTCAGGTGACATTGAGACATACTTTCTGTCTGAAAAATTAGCTTTTGCATGTAAAAATTGTCTGAAAAAGGTCATTTGCTCTTTTTAATTCTGTTTGTCTGTCCGAACTTTTTGCTACTTATTCTATAATTAATGCCAAATTTGCCATATCTGTTCGGTCAACGAATGCTATTGAAATTAATGAACCTAAAACTGCTCTTTTTGACGTCGGATTTCTGCGTTTCACTGATTTCTACGCGTAAAATCCTTTTAAAAATGTTTAACATAAGAAGATATAGTATTTAACGGCTTAAGTTGCTCAAGGTCACCGATTGTGCCAAGAGTTTGGCATGGACTATAAAGAAATTAAAAAGAGCAATCTTGACCTTGATTCATACTTTCTTTCTGAAAAATTAGCTGTTGCAAGCAAAAGTTTTCTGATATAGGTCATTTGCTCATTTTATAGTGAGTGCCAAATTGTTGGCAATATTCTTTTCGGTCAACGAGTCCGAACCAAAATTGCATTATCTTAAGAAGGCTCATTTTAACGCCTGAAGTTATTTTTTTTCATCTGAGCATATAAAAAGTCATATCAAAAAATCCAATTAACCTAAAACAACCATTTTTTACCAATTAAATTGCTCAAGGTCACCGATATTGCCAACAATTTGGAATTAACTACAAATAATTCTGTTTGTTCCAATTTTTTTTGCAACTATATATATTTCAGATTTTTTTTGCATGCAAAAGCTAGTTTTTGAGACCAAAATTATGTCTGGAGGTCTCTTGAAAATTCATGAATGCACGCAAATTTTGTTCAAAATTAAGAAATAACTGTTTTTAATTAATTTTGTGTGTTCCAACTTTTTAATATTCTCGTAAAACTATATTCATACTGTGGCTTGAAAAATATATCTTTTCGGTCAACGAATCTGAGCAAAATTAATTAACCTACAGCTGCTCATTTCTACACGTATAAACCATACGAATTTTATCGTTAGGATTATCAAACGACTTTTACCGTTAGGATTATTCCTGGAATATGAAGTTTCTAGTTTTTTTTTTTCATGATCTGAGTTGCTGTTAATAATCGTTAAACGATTTGTTAGTTTTACTGTTTGTTTGTTTTACCAGGAAGAGTAATTCTCTTCAAATTTAACTT